TTATTATTATTATTATTACAATTCCCTTATTGATTACTGATCAGTGTTCTGTGAGGAGAACAGCCTGTACAGCGCAGTGGACACAATAACAGGAACATCTGTCTGTCCTCAGGTAGGATGTGATGTCTCTTCAGGATACGTTGCAACAGAGGATCGGCGCCGCCCAGGCGTTGCTGCAGCGGGCGGAGCAGCTCTGTCGTGGCGTGGAGGGTCACCAGAAGCTGTGTGGTAAACTGCGAGCAGAGCTGCGGTTCCTGCGGCGGGTGGAGACCGGAGAGCTGCAGGTCAAAGAGTCTCACCTGCACAGCACCAACCTGACTCACCTTACGGCCATCGTGGAGTCGGCCGAGAGTCTGGAGGGCGTGGTCGCTCTGCTGCACGTCTTCACCTACCAGGACGCCACCGGCGGCAGGCAGACTCTGGTGGTGGACGTGGTGGCCAACGGGGGACACACCTGGGTGAAGGCGGTGGGCCGGAAGGCAGAGGCTCTGCACAACATCTGGCAGGGGCGGGGCCAGTATGGAGACAAGAGCATCATCAGCCAGGCTGAAGACTTCCTTGAAGCCAGCCGCCAGCAGCCCGTCCAGTACCGACACCCCCACATCGTCTTCGCCTTCTACAACGGGGTCTCCTGCCCCATGGCCGACCGCCTCAGGGACATGGGCATCTCCGTCCGCGGGGACATCGTCGCTGTGAATGCTGTGGAGGAGGAGGAGGAGGAGGAGGAGGAGGAGCCAGCTGAAGGTAACGAGGAGGAGGAGGAGGAGTCTGAGTTGACCCGAGTTGACCGCGGCACGGTGGTGGCCAGTCTGGCGTTTCCTGCTCAGGTGCAGGTGGAGGAGTGTCGGCGCGTTAACCTCGACATCACCACCCTCATCTCATATGTGTCATCGCTGAGTCACGGCCGCTGTCACTTCACCTTCAGGGAGCCGGTGCTGACGGAACAGGCGGCCCAGGAGCGCCGCCAACAGGTGCTGCCGCAGCTCGACGCCTTCATGCAGGGGAAGGAGCTGTTCGTCTGCCGCGCCGCCGTCCACGACTTCCAGGTCATCCTAGACACGCTGGGGGGGCCTGGCGAGAAGGAGCGCGCTCAGAAGCTGCTCGCTCGCCTCCACCTGGTGGACGACCGGCCATCAGAGCGCACGCTACGCCTCACGCCCAGCGCCAAGATCAACCAGCGCTCACTCATGATCTTCGGCACCGGAGACTCACTGAGGGCCGTTACCATGACAGCCAACAGCCGCTTTGTCAGGGCGGCAGCCAATCAGGGCGTCCGCTACAGCGTGTTCGTCCACCAACCCAGAGCTCTGACCGAGGGCAAGGAGTGGAGGGCCACGCCCATCTGAGACAGTCACTTCCTGTTCAGGGGCTGATGGGAGTTTGAGTTTGTTACAATAAACAGGTGTAATAATAATAATAATAATAATCCTGAGTTCAATGTAAATATAATCTGATTCACAATCTATATTCAAAGATCAATAAAGCATCACCGTCGCTTCCTGCTCGCCTCTCATTTCTTACATAAATATACAATAATAATAATAATGGTTTATTGTTAATGAACCCTGGATTATTTATTAATTACTGAATGATATTACTTGTTTTTGGCTAATGAACACGTGACATTCATGTTGTGAAATGGACTTTCCAGGAAATAAAACTAATAATAATAATAATAATCATTTATTGAACAGAGTTTTGGCGCCAGACTGATGTATGTATGTGCTTTTAATTTGAAAAGCTGTAAGCGGAAGTGGGTGTGAGCTCTGAGCGGCAGCCTGTTAGCCTGTTAGCATGT